CACCAGGCATTTATTTCAAAATGGGGACATTCATCTGGTGTAGTGAATGGGTGATAATTAGATAAAACTTCTTCAGGCATTCAATACATAGATCTCAGCTATCTGTATTTAGCTCTTAGATAAGATTTGTTGATTTCACAATTAAATTGGTCTAGTTTTAGATGAGGTGATTTTTTTCAGTATATTGTAAAATGCACTTCTATTTATTTGTGTTGATAAATGCCTTTTATTAATCTTTGAAATGAGGATTGTCAAGAATTCAGAATCATATATCCATTAAAAGAAAATGGATATATCTGCATTTCTGTTAACTTTAACAGCTGTTAGTAAAATTTTTAATCTTAAAAAAAGGAACCAAAAGCTCCACATCAGTTATAACAGTAGACAAAATTGCAGACTTGTAGGAACTGACTGAAATCCTCCACGGAGAAGGCTTCCATTTTGGAATAGGCAACTGCTTAATCAGCAGCTCTTTAGTGTTCCTACAGCTGTGGAAGTTCTTTGTCTTAGTTCTTGAAATCTCAGTGGATTGATCTCATGGCATTACCCGTGTTATCCCTTTCTCTGCACCTATGCCCTCATTCAATATATTATTGAAATATATTTTGCAAGTGAATACTAGGTATAGGACCTTCTTGGAGAGTGTTGTTTAAGGATGAAACTTCCACTGTGAAGAATCACATTGCTACATTCAGGACAAATCTTAATTTCCTGTAATTTGTTGAAATTGTCTGTTGTAGTAAGAGGGGAGAGAAATTAATATTCTCTATATTGGTAGTGCGGAAAGAAAAGAAAACAGGAGTATGAAGTACCTTTTTTTTGAATCTCCATAACTGGCTTAGGCATGCAAATCTGGTGGTGACAGGCACAGTATAGATAAAGGAAGAAAATGAGGCATAACATATTGATTTCCCAACATAGGGTAGGGTCACTTTGCCACTTTACTTGAAGGCTGTTTCAAGTTTATTATAAGCAGTTGAGGCCTCACATATATAAAGGTCTTACAACTTAAAGTTGTTTCCAAAAGGAGAAGACAGGAGAGAAAATCTAGACAGTTTTTCTTGTTTGTTTCAGGGTAACTGTTTGGTTGTCCACTGCACCAACAGAACCTCTCACTCACTGGTATCAAGTACGTTGCCTTCTTCAGACACCCCTCTTTGTTAAAGAGGGGGAATCTCTCTCAGGGAAAGTCTTACTTGTTGCCAATAAGCGGTAAGTGTACAAGCTTCACAAGCAGATTTTGTAGTGTGGCTGTTCTTCTTAGAGGTACCAAAATATACCAGTTAATTTTGTGTGTGCTTGTACTCACATTTGCTATTTCTGGTACCATAACCAATTTACATGGTATCACTAATAGGTGATAGGTATCACCTAGGTGCTCTTTACCCTGTGAGACTCTGCTCACCAAAAGGTCTCAATTTTCCACAAGAGTTACCTGTGAGGTACTTTCTCACATACCTTCTCCTTAACCATGTGTCATGTCCTGCCTTCCCTCACAATCACACTTGCAGATTTGGTCAGCTTTCTACTCTGCTATCTTTCACACACAACAGTTTTCCCAGGTCACGTCCAGATGTCTTCTGTACCTTGACCTGGTAGTGGCCAGACATTTACCATGGCCTTGGTCTGGTCATGTCTTGCTAACTAGCCTGGTGGTTTGCCTGAAGCCCCAGGGTTCCTTGTCTCTCAGCAAGACAAGGAGACAGGGAGAAGTGGGGCTGATCCCAAATCCATTACATTTTTAATACTTAAAAAAAAAAACAACCCATTTTTATCCTTATGGATGAGCTGTCATGTTTAAGAATAGTGCTTTCCATATGTTGTCCTTTCACTGAGGCTAATGAAGATGGCTGCTTTTGGAAGGGTGTATTTTCTCCTCAGACATCTCTGATGAACCTCCTGTTAGTCAAAAGTTTGGTAACTCCACTCCTAATTTTTGTTTAAAAATTAATTCTTAAATGATTGGGTCACAGAAGTTGCAGCCTGGTTTGCTTATGGGTATGTGTAGTTTTAACAGAAAACAAAGCCTCCTCTGTGTAGGAAGGGGATTTTTTTGGGGGGGTGGGGAAACATGCTCACCAGTCAGATGATTCCAGTGACACCAAAGCTGTCAGTAATACTTTCAGGGCTCTTTATCACACCAGCAAAGGATGCTTGATTTTGGCACTTGTCAGACTTCCAGACCTTCTCCTCGGAAACTCCTCTAAATAATACAGATCTTGATATGTCTTTTTCACGCATAAAATGTATTCATATTTTAATATATAAAAAAACACTGTATGCTACTAAGTGATCCCATAGCTACTGCTTAAGTATGTCAATACATAATGCACATTATGATATACCTATGTCAACACATGATACATAATACTTATTATGTAAGTGGAGAATGGCTCGGAACAACAACCTAGTGACCTTCCTAGACTGAGAATAAGTACTTTAACCATGTGTTAGCACTGAACTAACAGGTCTTGCCACAAAACTAATCTGCTTTCAGGATCTACATAACAACTCTGTGTAACTCCACAGTTGGTGTTCCATGCTGGAGGACCAGCTTTGGTCACCTTCAGTGTACTGGTATGCTCTCAGGTGCTTAGTTGGTTCTCTTTACTTTTCTGTGTAAACTCAGTTTCTTGCAAAAAGTTGGGTGAAAATATCCTTCCTGGTGAAATCCAGGATTATGAATAGTGAACCTCATGCCATTTGGCCAGTTAGATATTTTTTATCGTGAAAAACTCTGTTTGTACTAGCTAATGTGGAAATTTATAGTGTTTCTGTCAGAAAAGGAGAAAATTGAATACTATCAGTGAAAAATTATGTTGCCCAGATGCAAACTTTTAAAATCATTTAAGCATCTTGCAAATTTTACTTCTTTTGAGATGGTTAAATAATCATACAATTGCACTGATTCCACTGTAAATAAATTTTCTTTGCTTCTTATACTAGGTGATTATTATTCAAACAGTAACTACACTGCTATTTTTCACATGTTACAGTTGTTTTAATTCCATTACCTCTTTTTTATACTTCTCTTTCTATGCAGACAAAGTTATGATATTCACATTGTGGCTATGGTGGACGAGACAGGAATTAAATCTTCTAACATTCTTGATTTAAAAAATCCAGTTTTTAGGTAAGAAATGCTTCTGACTAAAGAATGCCCTTGTAGAGCAGTAACATCTTGTATGACAGGAAGCAAAGCACACCTACTGGGGAAGAACAAGTTTCTGACCTCTTACAGTTTATGTTGTTTCTACAGGTATGAGGGCATCCTTGCTGTGTATTGTCAGTACTTACTTATGTAAGCCAAAATTCTATTTAGGCTAGGTGCAAAACAGCAAAATAAAAAAAGCTTTATTTAAGAACTGTAATGAGTCAGTGCTTTGTCAAAATAGTAGACATACACTTACGTGAATGAATGTATACTGAAAATATTTTGCTGTTTCCTGTTGTGTGATGCGCATCATTATAATTCGAGGAACCAGTAATATGCCAAGATTTATTCTGCTAAGTACGTAAATATTGGCATTACTATTTCACATGAAGAACCTGTCCTTTCTGTATTAAACATGAGAGGAGGTAAAAAAAATCTACATGCTGCAATCCTTTCTAACAGGATGCCGCCATTAGGCATTGCTACAGCACCTTATTTTGGAGAAAAGTAGTCAATTACAGACCAAAACAAGAAGGAGGAAGGAGCCATCAATTCTTCCAAAAGAAAAGAAGAATAAAAGAAATCCCCACAAATCCAAAACATTTTTGAGAAAAATGGGCTGTGTTTTTTTCTTATGCTGAATTTGGGCCTAAAAATAGCTAAACTCAGCTGGTGGAATTAATTTTTCCAGAGGGTACTCATGGAAAATACTTCCCTCATTCATTACGTGTTTCCCATTTCCTACTTTTTTGACTCAGACCTATATGAAAATTTCACAGTAATCCTATAAAAAAGAATCCATTGTTTCTGATGAAAGTTAGTTAATTTTCATCTGTACATCAAATCTGCAGCGCATCAGTCATTTTGCCTTTAGAGTGGGGCCCTTTTGATTAAGTTCATAAAAATGCCTTTTAATAGAAACTGCTTATGGAAAACTTGCAATAACTATAAATAAAATCATGCACTGGAAAAGATTAATTTCTTCAGATTTGACGTGTGACATGGACAGAGTCTAGCTTGCTTATGTTCATGGTTTGGCTAATACTTGTTTCAAATATAAATGCTTCTTGTGAGGACGGTTAACAGTTAGTTTACTCTTCTAAAATCTCCACACTTACTCTCAACACCCATCGCATGAGCATGATTTTTCAAAGATGATAAAAGTCTACTCATTTATAAGCAAAAGAAGCTTTTGTTAAGTGTTTTTAACTTCTATAAATGTAGAAATCACCTTCAGAATCCTATTACTCATTTGTAAGAAAGCAGGTGGGGGAAATGGTCAAATTGTGTATTACATATAAAAGTACTCTAAGTTATATGAAGGATTATTGTATTTTGAAAATTGAATAAATCCAGTAACAGAACAAAGCACTGATTTCTTAACTTTATTCCAATGAGACTTATCTAACATACATTGGCTGAGTGTTCTATTTATAATACTTTCAATTTCATTAAAGTCCTTATTAAATATCAAAAGCTGTCAATAGTTTTTCTCCAGAGTAAAATAAAAGCTATATTAGAATCTATTAAGTTCGCTTAGTTCAGCTAGTGCTGTAAGCTATCAAAGAACTGTATATTTTAACTGTTTTATTCTTTCATCTATTTTTAGGTTTGCCTAGAATATATACATATCTCATATATGTAAGATACAGCATCTGAAAACAGAAGTGAGATTCTCGCCAAGCTGATTAACCAATGAGACCGAAGTCAGTTCAGGTCTTAGGAGGCCTACTGGTACTTCTGTAAAACCAATTTGTAGCTGTACCCATATGTAACTGTGTATGTGAGTCACATGAGAAGGGGATATGTGGTTCCATCCTTGCTTTTTTTTTTTTTTTTAAAAGGCTAAATTGGAATTTAGCCTGTGTTCACATGTAGAAGTGAATTGCAGCAGACTCAGCTTCAGAAAGTTCATTTGGTATAGAACAAGAACTGTATCTCTGTGTTTGCTTATATTTCTGTTTAACAGTAAGATCACAGTGGTTCACTGCTGTTTGCTTTGCCTAATTTTTTTTTAATAGTATTCTTAATTATTGAACAAAGCCTACCTCGTGTTTGTATATGTAACACATCAAAAGATCTTTGAGCAGTATGTAGGGCCCGTGCTTTAAACACTCAGCACTTAAGTCCAGATTTCAATGTCTGGTGTAATCCTCTAGCTCACCAGGGCAGTCTGTTAAGTACTTCAATTTCCCCTCAATGGACTCATTAATTTGGTTCATTTTGAGAGGTAAGCCTAAAGTCATCTTACATGTGCTTTGTAACTGTTCTGAAATTTCTCTATGCCTATAGAAATGTAACAGGACATATCTGTGAATTACTCCTAGCATAGTGAGATATAGAACTGTATGATAGGATATGTGTGACTTTCACTTTTTCTGTAGCTCTGTGAGAAGTTATAGGAAAACGTAGTTTTGGCTTGTGTACCTAACAAATGATGAAGACTGTAGAGTAACAGTAGATTTTAATGTGATCTCCCTCCAGACAATATTATCCATAAAAAGCACATACTGACTTTTATAGAATATGTTTCTATTATTCAAAGTATATGCCTTAGGTTGAATTAATGAGCTGGAGTAGAATCAGAAATTTATACATCATTTTACTACCAAAAACATACCTACAGTGATACCTCTAGCAAGATACAACCAGCCTTCAGCCTTCCACGCACTGTTGGAAGCTTCGTTTGAATGAAAAGCCTCAGGAAAACTGACCCTTCTCCCAGAAACTTACATGCCGCATTAGGTCAAAAGACCAGCAAAGGACATCAGCTGGGAGTAATTAAGAAACAGCTGTAGTTTCAGAGGTAATGCTCCAAGCCAACAGCCATTTGCAGCTATTTAAATGTAGTTTATGAGATTATGGAAAGTAGTCCCTAAAACTGTGAAACTTGTAAAAGTAACCTGAACTTCATGGCCTCAGCCATGAAGCCACTGAAGTTAGTGCCAGAAAATTGTTGCCTTGTTATTTCCAGTAGCATTTAATACAGCAGGTGAGAGACTTCTAGTATAAAAATGTAGTTTGCATAATAAAATACTGTTTTGTTACACAAATATAAATATATATTAAAAAATAGTATTTAATGTGGGTTGCTGTCTCAGAATTATAACAGAACTTATCATTCCAACCGGCACAATCAGTGCAACAAGATTTCTGATGCCATGTCTGATGGTTGAGTATGTATCCTATTTAGTCTGTTCATGGTTTTATGCTTATATGGAAGAAAGAAACAAATCCAGGAATGTCCAAATCTAAACACCAGGCATCGGTAGTTCATGGTTTTCTAGAGTTTGGCGGATTTTCTGCAGCAATTATGAAAGGAGTGTATGGAATTTGAATCTGAATTCAGCTTACAGATTTGTAATGTCTCCTGCTGACCTACACGTCTGTCTGGATCTCACATTTCAGTCTCAAATCACTTCTAAAAGTGGTTTGAGACTAAAATGTGTCCATGCAACAAAGACTTTTTAGGGAAAACAGGGAAAAACCTTACATTGCACATTTCATGTGGCAACTTCAGGTTTTTTTTTTAAGGAAAAGAGTAAATAAAGGGGAGGAAAAACAAAAGCAGCAGACAGCAGGGTCAGGTTTTGTATCTTTATTTAATTCCAGAGCAAAAGGTGTATGTATCTAATAACTGCACCTTCAATACGTATAGAAAAGATCTATTCCCTACTCACTAACAAGAACAAAGAATTTTTCAAAGTGATTGCTACTTTGAAGTGATTTGAATGATCCAGTACTGGTATTTATATTTCTCTTTACATCAGGACTTCACTTGATGCCAGATTGCACGCTAAAACTGAAGATTGACATTGGGTACTGTAACATTTGCCGTTTGAAGTAAGGTTCTGTGACTGTCTCAATTTCCTTATTGCTTAACACGTTCTTTTGTCCTGCTTTGAAGTGTTGGTGATTTTGAAGTGTACAGGAGTCTAGTTTCAAGGACTACAGTGTACTTTTTTCACCATATAGAACTTTCTGGATATAAACGTGAGAATGTGTATGTGAAGTATTTTTGAAACCACATGTTAATGAAAATACTTTATTGCAACAAATGCTGGTGGTTTAGTTTTTTATAGACAACATTAACGAGTGCTAGAGAATGTAGGGAAACTAAAGAACTGTGGGGATGCTGAGCAAAGAGTGATAATGTATTTTTACAGTATAAGACTCTTGAACAGATTTGACCACATTATGAAATACATCATTTCCTCATTTATAATTGAAGAGGCTGTATTAATCCTGTCAAAAATGACATACTGTCTTGCATTCCATAGACTCAAAAAGCACAACAGGCTTTGGCCTTGTAGACGGAATGTGGAAAAACAGAACCTAAAAAAAAGAGTTGAAAAAAATAAGACTGAGAAAAATAAGATCAATGAACCTCTAACCAGAAAGACTACCCCTTAAGTTTGCTAAAACCTGACAAAACCTAAACAATCATCAAAAGATGTTTCTCATGAGAAAACCGTGATTAAGTGCCCTTTTGGTGAACTTTTGTCATTATAATCTCATTTTAATACTAAAAATCACACCTACAGGTCAAAAGACTCCTGTGTATTTAGGTGCTTACGCGATCCTCATGCAAACTAGGTGACCTGTCGGTAAAAGGTGGGAGGGTTATAGGGAGTTGCTAATTTGAATTAAATCATATAAACATGCAGAATACAGGGTGCGGAGAAATGAGGGAAGACTCCACCGTAACTGATGGGACTGGTCAATGGGCTGAACCTGTATTCTTCCCCCACAGGGATACCTATTGGATAAGAGCTGTACTCTGTGCGCACTTATTGATTTTTATCTGGCTTTACATATTATTTTCATGCTTGTTCCCGCAGTTAGTGTATTGTCACTGCAATCTGCAAAGCTTAAACTATCACCAAAGTATAGAATAAAAGTTCTCAGTTAAGATCTATTTTGTGTGAGTTCTAGAGACCCAAATGGACTAAAAATTGGCTCAAAAACTTACTTCAATTTTTTTTTAAACTTGGTGGGTGAATCAGCTGCTATGTACTTGAACGGGATTGTTGAATTCAGGCTCTGGTACAGTGTGCTGTCTGGTGGGGCACCTGCAGAGATCAGGCCCAAGGCTCTCATCTGTTCTGGGTGATAACAAACTCGTCAAACTTACATGTGAAGGGGTGAAATCTTCCTCCTTATGGCTGAAGGGCATAAACCCCTTACTGGGATAAAGACCCCCTTAACGTAAGTAAGACAGTTTTAAAAGAATCTGAATGTAAATCTGGATTTTGAGATGAAGGTTTCACTAGAGAGAGAGACTGGTAATACTCAATTTCAGCTTTACATACTTTGTTTACAGATTACAAATTCACTCTTCTGAATTTTTAATCTTTTGGTTTATTTAATCATTTTTATCTCCATGGAATCAAAACAGCATCCAAAAAGAGATAAAACCAACATCAAAATTAGACATTAAAACATCTGCGCAGAAACATGATTTATGTACACGCATGGGAATATCCTGGAGACTTGATTAGGTCATGAACTATCTTCTACAACTGGAACCTGTTTTAAGGTATCTGAAGATCTTTAAGGAACCCTTACTTATTTTTTTTTTAGGAAAGGGATGTGCTTGGCCCTCTAAACTGCTTGACTTGAAAAGCCTGGCTGGCATTCAAGAATTTCACTGGTTTATTCTCTGGCAGGTGTTTGTATTACAGCAAGCAAGCTGAACACAGCAATGTATTTTCTAATGTCTTAACTGACTGTGGTCTTAATTCTTGGAAAGCAACCACCAAAAAAATGGAAAATGTAATCAGTGTAGAGACTAGACTTTATCTCAAACATTTATGGAGCTTGTTCCAAACACTGAAGCAGAACATTTGAGCTGTGGTCGCATGCAACCTTGTATTTTTATGCTCCTTAAGGCGATTTTCAAAATAGACTCTCTTCCCCTGCCTCCCTTTAAACCACTCAATTTTGTCAGCCACGATGGGGACATTTCAAAGAGTGGAAAAACTAAAAACCATAATCCTGCCCGTGTCTGTTCCATTTTTCAAGTCTCTGCCAAGTGGTTCCCCAGAGATAAAAGAACAGTACTGCCACCAGCTCACTTACTAAAAAGCTCTATTCCACCATGTAATTTCTATCCACATCACATTCTTACTGAAATACACGACGGGTAGTCTTAGAGAAGTACTGACCACGCTCGGGTTTCCTGTCACCGCCGCTGTAAATCACACAACAGTAATAATTACATTTATGAATACGGCTCCCCTTTCCATTAGGAAGAAACGGGTTTACTGAACACCCGAATACGAGAAAAACGCTTGGCAGAGGTTCCACGCGGCTAAATCACACTTGCATCGTTTCCTGTAACAGCTCCACCCGGAGTTCTCCGAACTCAGCACACTGTGCTCGAGAAGATGGCGGTAGGCCCGCTGCTCCAGCTGGATGGGGAGCACATGTGGGGGAACGAAACGGGAACTGGAACGAGAACGAGGCCTTTCCTTTTAGAGGCCCGCCCGTTCCAGAGCTCCGGGCTGAGCGCACTCAAACGCGAAGCGAGATTCCCGTACTGCGGGTCGCTGACTCGCGCCAGGCCCGCTCCGCGCGGCGCTTGACGGCACGCTGCATCAGCACTGTCGCACGGCAGCTGCGAATAGGGTGCCGCGCTCGCCGGAGGAGGCCGCAAAGCGCGGGCGAGGCCGCACGTGTGAGGTGAGCGGTAAGGCCAGGGGTCCATGGAGCGGAGCGGCGCGGGCGGCGGGGGTGTCCGTCGGAGCGTCCCCCGCGGGTGCGGGCCAGCGGCGTCCTCTGGCGCTGTCACCGCGCTGGCCTGCCGTGGTCTTGCCTCAGGGTCCCTGGGGAGCGGGGTCAGCCAGGCACGTGCTCCGCGGCCTTGCCTTGTTGCGCCTCCGTGGTGGCGCGCCTGCGGGCGACCTGATCTGGTCCCTCACCGTCCACTTAGGGACGGTCAGCGGCTGTTGAGAAGGGTTTAACTCCGCCAAGTGTGTTAACCGGTGTGCCAAGAAATGCGGGCTGTCTTTTCCTCACGCTGTTGGCAAGGGAGCCACGGTGGTCCAGTAATGCTGTCCCTTGTGTCCTCTGCAGTGCTGCCACAATGGAAACCAAGGGTAAAAGGAAGTTCGTGGGGAAGAGTGGAAAAGTGCCTTATGGAAAAGCACCACATGGGAAGAGGAAATTTAAAAAAGATAATGGTAAGAAGACAAGTTTTCCTAACAGGAGGCCCTTCTGAGTCGTTGATGTTGTGCTCAGGCATGCTTGAACTTAACTTCTTCACCTTGGTAAACTTCTGAAGTGATGAATTTTGTAGATGAGGTTGGAGAAGTGCATGTTGTCTGCCTGGGCTTCAGTAAAGCTTTTGACAGTGTCTCCCATAAAGTCCTTGCAGAGGGGCTGACAGATGATGGGCTGGACGAGCACATGGTGTGGTAGATTGAAAACTGCCAGAATGGCTGGGCCCAGAAATTGGTTATAAGTGGCACAGAATCTAGTTGAAGGCCGATAACTAGCAGTGTACCCAAGGAGTCAGTACTAGGCCTAGTTCTGTTCAACCACTTCACTGATGATTTGGATTATGGGGCAGAGTGTACCATTACAAGTTTACTGGTGACACAGAGCTGGGGGGGAGTGGCAGGTGCTCTTCAGAGAGGCCTCAGCAGCAGGGGAGAAATGGGCTGACAGAAGCCTTGTGAAGTTCATCAAGGAGTAAAGGGCGAAGTCCTGCACCTGAGGCAGGAGCAACCGCACACACCAGTACATGTTAGGGGAAAGCAGCTTTGCAGAAAAGGCCCTGGGGCTCCGGGTGATCACAAAGTTGGACATGAGCCAGCAATGTGGCCTTGTGTCAAAGGTGCCAAATTGGATCCTGGGCTACATTAGGAAGAGAGTTGCCAAAAGGTCAAGGGAAGTGATCCTTGCTCTCTCCTCAGCACTGGTGAGGCCACATCTGGAACGCTGTTTCCAGTTCTGGGCTACTCAGTACAAGAGAGACATAAGCATACTGGAGAGAGCCCACTGAATGGCCACATACATGGATGAAAGGTCTGGAGCACCTCTTTTGTGAGGAGAGGCTGATGTTGTTAGGGCAGTTGAGACTGCAGAAGAGAAGGCTAATAGGGATCTTGTCACTCTATACAAATACCTGAATGGGGTGTGCAAAGACAGCCAGGACCAGAGGCACAAATTGAAACACAGGAGGTTCCTGCTGAATATCAGGAAAGACATCTTTGCTATGAGGGTGACTGAGCACTCTCGGTGGAGTCTTCCACTTTGGATATAGTCAAAAGCTGCTGGGTGGCCCTCTGGGAGCGGGAGGGTTGGACCAGATGACCTCCAAAAGTCTCTTCCAACCTCAATCATCTGTGATTCTGTCTTGCATTCAAAACTATACTGACTGTATGATCAAGTAACCTGGAAAAAGTGAGGCTGAAATGCTTTAAATAAACTGCACTGAAAGCCCTTCAGCTCTATTTGATTCACCTAAAATACTCAATTAGAATTTTAAAGTTGATAACTTTTTGATTCTGCAGTTTGCTCTCCTACAGTAAGTAAAAGTTTGACAGTTGAAGCTAGGGTGTGTGAAGTGCTGTGGGTTAGAGTTGTGAATGTACCTTTCAGTGTTTTTTTTCTTCTGCTTTAGAGGATGTCAAAACAGCTCTGACCACAAACTGTGGAGAGATGGTTTGGGGACTGATGCCCTTGGTGTCAGGGGTGGTGAAATTATTAATTTAGAATAATCCTTTTATGTCTGGGCAGTTTTACTGCTGCCCAGAAAATAATGCCCGGGCAGAACTTCCTTAGGGGAAAGTGGAACATCCAGGGGCTGCCATGAAAACATCAGCTTTGAGAAGCATGTAAGAATTATTGTTACATGTATAATTGTTACTACAAAGAAGTTAAATTCTTGTTACAGCAGTTATTTGTTATTTTGAAGCAACATTAGCTCTGTGATAGCATTTTAATTTCTTTTTTGTTGGGTAATAGATTCAGGTCCACCAAAGAAACTCCTCAAGAAAGGAGACGAGGAGGGAAAGCCTAAATCAATTTCCAAGAAGTTTGTGAAAGGACAGTTAAGACCTGGAAGAGCTACTGTCAAACAGTTCAAGAATAAACAGCAATCAGAGAAGTTTGCAAAGAAGAGCAAGCTCCAGGATGGAGAAGAGGGAGGTGAGCAGTTTTTTAAGCCTGGATGTCAATGGCAACTAAGTTTTGGGAAACATATTCATTTAGGTGCTCCTGTCTTCCTCTTTCCCCTTGCTTTGTTACCACCTTTCCAAACTGGCACAATGACTGCAAGTTTACTTCATCTTTAATCTTTGCTGTGGAAAATGTTCTTCAACTGACTAAGCTTGAGGAATGAGAATGAACAGTTACAAATTTTCTCTGAAGTCAAAAGTAAAGATGCAGTAGCAAATTTAAATAATCAGCATGCCATCATGAAATTATTTGAGTATTTTAATGACAGCATTAAGTGGCTAGGTTGAAACTGACTGCTTTCCCATAAATTTGGAAAGTACAGAACATTTCACAGACTGGTTTAGAATTTAATCCTCTTTTCTAAAAGTACTGGGTATAAAATTTGGAACACAAAAATTTATGAGAGCTGGCTATTCCTTATATTACATTATTTTTTTTCTTGTAGTGCAAACTAGTCAGTTCTTTCAGTTTTTTTTCTTGTTTTACAAAGACATTATTAGTGTTGTGACTGCTTTTGTGTTTTACTGCTTATTTTTATGTTTATACAGAGAAACTAAATAAATGTCTAGTTTTACCATTTCTTTAAATGGATTTCTTTTTTAACTTTGTTTCTGGTGCATGAGAACTTCATGTTGTTCCTTACTGTGTTGTGAAGCAAAGGTCTCCTAGGACAATGAAACAGAAGTGGCATCTTACGTGAAGTTCTGCAGAAAGCTATTAGTTGTTTGAAAGTCAGTAGAAGGTATTGAGTATTTTGCTGTTGTATTCTTCAGAGTGGCTTCACATGGACTATGCACTAGATGCCTGGAAACTTAATAGGAACAGAATGTTCATATTAAGCTGCTTTAAAAAAAAAAACAAAAAAAAACGAAAACCAACCACAAACAAACGTTTAAATGTTGTTTCTGAGAATAACTGAAAGGTGCTCGATATTGCATGGTGGCTCTGCTCTCAAAGTGTTAACTGGTTTTGCTTGTCGCTATTATTTTAGGAGAGTAACAGAAAAAAATAATATACTTTGTAAAAAGAGAGAATGGGTTTTGGATGGGTAAAAAAGTTAAGTGCATGCTGCTAAATGCCAACAAGCGGTGCTTTAAGATCTAAGAATTTTATGCTGGGTCTTTAATGTTATACAATAATAGAATCATAGAATAGTTAGGGTTGGAAAGGACCTTAAGATCATCTAGTTCCAACCCCCCTGCCATGGGCAGGGACACCTCACACTAACAATGCCACCCAAGGCTCTGTCCAGCCTGCCCTTGAACACTGCCATGGATGGAGCATTCACAACTTCCCTGGGCAACCCATTCCAGTGCCTCACCACCGTCACAGTAAAGAATTTCTTCTTTATATCCAATATAAACTTTCCCTGTTTAAGTTTTAACCCGTTACCCCTTGACCTGTCGCTCCAGTCCCTAATGAAGAGTTTATCCCCAGCATCCCTGTAGCCCCTCTTCAGATACTGGAAGGCTGCTATGAGGTCTCCATGCAGCCTTCTCTTCTCCAGGCTGAGCAGCCCCAACTTTCTCAGCCTGTCTTCATACGGGAGGTGCTCCAGTCCCCTGATCATCCTCGTGGCCCTTCTCTGGACTTGTTCCAACAGTTCCATGTCCTTTTTACGTTGAGGACACCAGAACTGCACGCAATACTCCAGGTGAGGTCTCACAGGAGCAGAGTAGAGGGGCAGGATCACCTCCTTCGACCTGCTGGTCACACTCCTTTTGATTCAGCCCAGGATACGTTTGGCTTTCTGGGCTGTGAGCGCACACTGCCAGCTCATTGACCAGCACCCCCAAGTCCTTCTCTGCAGGGTGCTCTGAATCTCTTCTTTGCCCAGCCTGTAGCTGTGCCTGGGATTGCTCTGACCCACGTGTAGAACCTTGCACTTGTCATGGTTAAACTTCATGAGGTTGGCATCAGCCCAACTCACAAGCGTGTTGAGGTCCCTCTAGATGGTATTCCTTCCCTCCAGGGTATCAACCGAACCACACAGCTTGGTGTCATCGGCAAACTTGCTGAAGGTGCACTCAATCCCACTGTCCATGTCACCAACACAGATGTTGAACAAAATTGGTCCCAACACTGATCCCTAAGGGACACCACTCGTTACTGGTCTCCAGCTGGACACTGAGCCATTGACCACAACTCTTTGCGTGTGGCCATCCAGCCAGT